TTGACCTTCCAGGCATGATAAGATCTCCTGGCTTTATGAAGCCATCCTGTGTAGCTCGTTAGGTCGCAGAGGTGCAAAAGGCGTCACATCACGTCAAGGTGCAGTCGCGTCGTGACAGTGGTGATGTCGTCCTGTCCAATACCACGCCTAACCTAGCGAAATCACGTGGCTAGCCACTTCAGGTCCTGGGACTATGGAGTCACTCCGACTATGAAGTTCATCCTGTCTGCTGTTTGTCATGAAAATTGTGTGTAATAAAAAGGGGCAACGTCCTTTATACTACCCAGAAGTTTTCGGTATTGACTAAACCAGGTTTTGTCAGTCTCTTATTGCTTCAATTATGCGTTGGTAAACCCAGAACTTCTCAACCACTTATGGAAAACCCAATGGGACATTTAAGATTTAAGAACGTAGATATGAACTCTCAGAGCTCAAAGAATTTTTCGGTTTCAATCTTACATCGGTAAACAGCAAAAAGGCTTTCTCGTGTTTTTCGATTGTTTCCTAATAGATTTCGAATTGAAGAGAGATCATCGTTACGGTGAACGCTATCATATACTCGTGCATCGTTTCACGTACCGTTTATTCAGACGCATTTTAATCAGAGTTTCGTCCATTTTTTCACGCCATTTGTCATTAATAGTAAACTTGCTGTTTTTCAGTCATGATCGACTGTATGCAATTTCCCTATGTATTAGTATGTACTCAAATGTAATTCATTATACGACTTGCCGTTTCATTTCCAGAAACCTATGGCGAGTCGTATACCTCATTATTGCGTTGTGGGTGGTGGCATTTCTGGTCTAGCAACCGCATATTTTATTTCTTTGCTCAAACCACCGGGGTCTTATCGATTGACTGTCTTGGAATCAAGTTCTCGGTGTGGTGGCTGGATTCATTCGGTCAAGAATCAGTATACTGGTGCTACCTATGATCTGGGTCCCCATAGCGCTCGAGCATTTTCACCAAACTCAGCATTATTGCTTCGTATGGCATTGAGTTTGGATCTGCGTGACTCACTAAAGTGGGTGGTTCGTGATCATGACTCTTCACAAGGTCAGTTGTTTGTCGGAGGAAAGTTGGTTCCTATTTCACCACTTGGATTCCGTGCGGTAGAACCATTTACGCGTTCTCCGCTGGGTTTGATAACCCGGCGTATTTTTTCTAAACCTCCTCCGACAAAATCAGACTGGTCTGTTGATGAGTTCCTGCGTACCAGATTGGACGATGAGTTTGCCGATTATTTGGGGAGTGCCATGATGCGTGGCATCTACGCCGGTGACTCCAGAGAACTCAGTGCTCGTGCCTGTATACCTCAGGTAGGAAAACCTTTTATATGCACAGTTGGTGAAATTATTTGATTGAATAGAAATTTTATTGAAGTCATCTGCCGTGCATAGCCATTTGTTTCTTTTCGTGAACAGACTTTCGTTTGTTGTCGTTCGCTTCTCCAATCCGATGAACTGCCCTGAGCTAAAAATAATTATGCCTAAAAGATAAGAGATTTAAAGTCGGACAAAACTCAGTTTACCTGTTCTCCAGAACTTGTTTTAACTTGACGGTGTTTTTCAAATGATAAAAGCTGTCGAGTAGTAGTTAATCAACCTGGAACCTACTGGATGCATCGGATATCCTGGAAATCATTAGACATCGATGGATGAAAGCGTCAGACTCTCACTAACTATAAAATGAAAAGAAATACCGATGGAATTATTAGCTCTAAATTACGTAAGTTTAACGAAGGATCTCGAAAACCGATGAGAAAGTGTTCGATTAATTAAAGCTAATCTCTAGTTAAAAAAAATATATTTTGCAATAAATAGTGTATGAATAACTCCACGAAATGTCTTTGGAAGTACACGACTTGTTTTGCGGTTCTAACCACTTGTCAGGTATACCTATTTGATAATCTTTTGTCTTCTGTCGAGTCACATCTTCTCGATTCTGTTGCAACCTTAGTCTCCGTTTGCGCTCCAACTCTACTTCAACTTTCCTGTTTTCCTCGCACAGCTTCATTCAATGGGGTAGCTAAAAGACAGCAACCAAAACCGCCGCACGAAAGTGCACAGTTAATGGTTGTATAAAAGAAATTGAACTCTGTCGAGTCATTCATATGCTACTTATTGTAAGGCATAAAGACGCTTAAACTACTTTTATCGCGGTAAGTATCAGCTAACCGACATAGAATACATCGAATCATAGTATTGAATCAGCAGCGGTCAGGTTCTGAACGGGTTGTCTAAACCAATTTATCCGGTATTGCAACTGAGGTTATTGTGACGAGATTACACTTCCTGGGTACAAGTATCTGAGGCAAGTTCATCGGATACGTATACCTGACGAGCGACAAGAACCGCAGGAATCGCATTGATCGCTGCCAACGGTACATATATATATATATATATATACATATATATATATATACATATATATATATATATATATATATATATATAATACACTGGCTTGAGAACAATCATGGTGCCAATGCAAAACAATGGTTATTAACATGTGATGGGGTACAGAAAGATTAAATGAAAATCGGGAAACAGAGAACACGGAAACGAATGAATGAATAAATGAGTGGTTTTCTGATAGTTTCACCGTACACTTTGAAGATTTTGTGTGCTATGGAGACCGGGATTTCGCCAAACAATAGCGCAATAGCGCAACTGACATCTATTGTGAGCTATATCTCTCAGCATCTAGTCATCGGCAATCCTCATCCCTTGGGTTTCAACCTGGAAGGCGAGCTGCACCAGCCGAAGCCAATGCTGAGGTTAAGTTCTTTATACCTTTGTGCCATGTCATGGTCTGACCGCCGCGGCGCTTCTTCCAGCCTTGTCCGGCACTTGCAAAGAGAGAGGTAGTCGATGGACAGGCATACGCAAAACATGACCGAATCATCGGAGGCGGTGTAGAATGTTTCTTCCGTTAAAGAACGACTCTCAATACCCAGCACACGATGAAGAATTTCATCATTGCTCACCCAATGTTCGCACCGAACACGAGCAATGCTTCGAAGGCATCCGCGGTCGATTACGGAAAGTCGATTAACATCCTCCGCTGGGAGAGGCCAGTTCTCGCAGAACACTACGGACCGCGGTGATGTACACCCTTCCACTAAGGGACAATCGGACGTCAACGGGGCACCATAGGTGTTTGCAGGTTGGCGAAGGCTGCTCTAGCTATTGGTCCGACAGATTTGTTATTCAATCCTGCAAAGTAAGAGACAAGCAACCACTAATTTGCATTGCTTTATAGGTTTAAGTTGAAAGCTTTTCGGTACCACCTGATCCAGTGGACAAGTTTCGAGCTTGGTTACCGCAGCTGATCCATGGATATGCTGACTGTGATATTTTTAATTCAGATGAAACAGCCTTGCATTGCAAGCAGCTCCCAGAAGGAATATTAAGTCCCAAAAGGAAAACCGTTTCTTGATCCAAAATATCCAAAGAAAGAGTCACGTTACTGCTTTGTGGGAGCATAACTGGAGAGAGTTTAACACCGTTGTCTATTGAAAAATTTCAAACTCCACGATATCTACGAGGCATAAACAGAAAAAGCGTTCCCTGCAGTCACAATTCTCCAAAGAACCCATGAATGACGTGGATCAGCTGAAGCTGTTTGCTTTGGCTAATGTTCGGATCTGCGATCGATAACTGTAGTGTACGACTGATTTAAACAACTCGCTTGTTGAGTTTCGAAGGAGAATCAAGCTGAGACAAATGACTATTTATGATTGCTAAAAATACATCTTTGTTATCTGCAAATTTTTTTCCAGAAGGTGGTCATTTTTGTTGCAGTGGTCACCAAAGCGACGGTCATTCGGTCTATCGATAGGCTCTGTCGCACTAACGTGTAAAAAGGAGTGAACAATAATGGCGATTGACTGGTGAGCGGATGTGTGGTGTAAGATGTCAAATCCGAGCGATTGATAAACGCCGTCTCGGAAAATGAAAGATACCTGGGATAACAAAATGTTTTGTTTTTCATCGTACACTTTTTATATCTTTTATGTTTTTTATGGGCAGGGGATTTCGACAGGCACTGATTTCTATTTTGGGCCATATATCTCAGCGTCTCTAACCAAAGACAATCCTCATACCCTGGGCCTCAACCTGGAAGGCTGGCTGCACCAACCGAAGTCAATGCTGAAGCCATCTTCCTCATATCTCTACGCCACGTCATGATATGACCGCCGCGGCGCCTCTTCCAGTCTTGCCCAGCACGTGCGAAGAGAGCGCGAAAAGGTAGTCGATGGGCAGGCATTGGCAATACGTGACCAAGCCATCGGAGGCGTTGTTGAGCGAATACTTCTGTTAAAGAACGACTATCCGCACCCAGCGCACGACGACGAATCTCGTAATTACTAACCCGGTGTTCCCACCAGACACTAGCAATACTTCGGAGACATCGGTGGTCGAATACAGAAAGTCGGTTAACATCCTCAAAGCGGAGAGGTCAGGTCTCGCAACCGTGAAGGAGAACGGTACGAACTGCGGCGATGTACACCCTACCCTTAACTAACAGTCTGATGTCTTGGCGGCGCCGCAGGTGTCACAGGTTGGCGAGAGCTGCTCTAGCTTTCGCTATTCGTGATGCGATCTCTCCAACACCACCACCAGCTGCTATCAAGCTCCCAAGGTACTGAAAGCTCTCAGCTACTTCCAGTTCATCATCCCCGAAGGTGGGTGCAGGTACAGGCTGCTGCCAGTCTTGAACCAGCACTTTGCACTTAGAAGGTGCAAAGCACATACCGTAGTTGGATACCTCGATCGCCTAGCGGTTCAAAGCGTTTTGGACTGCCTGTGCATTGTCACTCAACAAGGCGATGTTGTCGGCATGCTCCAAGTCAAGGACTCTGTTCCCTGGGACGAGTTTGACTCCACTGTTTACTAAACCGGACAAAGCGTCCTGCAGAACATCATTTATTGCGAAGTTGAAAATGAATGGGGATATGGGGCAGCCTTGTCGAACTCCACTGGAGACGGTGAAGGGTGGTGAAAGCTGGCCATAGGCCCTAACCCGACCTGAGGTATGACGATACAACTCTTTGAGGATCTCTACACTTCTTTGGTACACCATTCTTCAATAAAAAACTCCATAATGCGGTCCTCTCGACAGAATCAAAGGCCACGCGAATGTCTAAGAATACAATGACCGTTGGTCTATGGTAAGCATCAAGGTACTCAAGCAGCCATCGGAGGGTGAAGATTTGATCGACACAGCAACGACCGATACGAAACCCAGCCTGCTTCTCACGGGCATGTTCCTCACGCGTTTTGTACAATCTACGAAGAATAATGGACGCCAACAGCTTTGATCCTATTGGGATCAGGCTTGTTCTTATGCTTGGCGCAATCATTGCGCAGGCCCTTTTTACAGATGAGGACGACAGTCGACTCCCCCAACAGGAGGAGACCTGCTCAATGTTCCGAACTTTAGAGAACAGGACTTGGAGTTCTCTAACAAGCCTTAATCCATCATTTTTAAATAGAGCTATGGGAGACCATCGGAGTCCGGCGCTTTGTGATTTCACAAGGCTTGGATTTCCTTAAGGATTTCGGCCTCAGAATGGGTCAGTCATGACAGACCATGGAACGTGTACTGAAATAGCTGCCTGAGGAGCTGGCGCTGGTGCTTTGAAGTGCTTCGCTCAGCGTTCAAGACGTCGCTGTTGATTGTGATTAAGCGAACCATGAACTTCATAGATAGTTTCGCTCACACCCAAAGTTTTCCTACCTTTGACTCAGATGAGATGAAATAGCTTACGGGAATTTCCCATGGCGGCAGCACGTTCCATTTTTGATGCTCGTTGAGACCACCAGATTTCGACATCTCTGCGTAGGCTTACGTTAAGTTCATGTCTCACTAAAAGCCGTGTTGCGTTATGCTCGCTGCCGGTCGGAAGTGACCGATGTGCGTCAAGAAGGTGCAGAGACTCAGCGGAAATCCAGAGTGTCACGACACGGCGTGTTATATCGCAACTAACTCAGCCAGCAGTATGCAGAGCATTCTTGATAAGCGACCGGTTCTCACTGATGTTATCGAGTGGGGTTGGTTCTAGCTGTTTAGCTAGCGCGTTTTGAAAGACGGCTAAGCCTGTTGGTCGAGACAACTTATCGCAGTCTAACCGCCGCTGTGTTGTACGTTTAGGACGTTCATCAAAGCACGTGGATAGCTTGGTGCAAACTAGCGCGTGATCGGATTCGAGGGTAGTGGGGTGGTGGTAGCACAGTGGTTTAGTCGCTGTTACCCCGCCACCGCCACCCAACTTTAGTGGCAGGCAGCTCTGCTGTCGTCCGGTTCAATACCACACCTAACGTAGCGGGGCCAAATGTGGTTCGCCGCTCCAAGTCCCGGGTCTTAGGTTGCCGGTTTCCACCATTGAACATCAGATCCTCGTGACTATGAGGTTCACCCCGTCTGTTGTTCATCACACGTGGGGGTGTGATAAAAAAGAATTCCTATCTCCTGCTAAAATCATGATATCATCCCGATTTGCCTTATGCAAGAGGTCGTGTAGTTTTTAGCAGAAAGTATCTTTGACTGTATTTAGGCTACAGTTCGTGGGTGCGTACGCTGACAAACAAGTTGTGTCTTTCGGAGCGACGACTATTTACTTTGCACGAGGCTCTAAGTCTCACTGTTTATAACCTACTGTCTACTGGAATCCAATCCCGGGTGCGGCTTCAGCTCTCACACTGAGATCCAAGCCANNNAAGCCAACACCAGCAAGACCAGGAGCCACAGCCTCAGGTTCCCCAGAAAGACGCAGGTGAAACTTCGCTGATGGGTTTGACGAGGACTTCAATCGGATGGCAGAGCTAGCCTCTTGAATGCGAGTATCTTGGAAACAACACACAGCGATGGCTAGGGCCCCGAGGGTACGAGCTGAATACGCCTGTTGTTCTGTACGTATCAAGGTACTCACGTTAAATGTGGCTAGTTTGAATGGGCATTGAGGACGAAGCAGAACTTTAACTGGTGGAGAGGGATTCGGTGAGACTTGGACACTATTCGAGGCAGGACGCGAGAGAATAGGGACGAAATTTCCATCGGAGGCACGACTGGTAGTTTAGTGATATCCGTCCCAAGGTGAAACAGAACCAAGGATTGGGT